GAGCTCAGTGTTACTTTTACTGACAAATGACACGGAGTTTATTCTCAGCTGAGGCGGGCTCAATTGTTTTCCTACCGCTACTGCGAGAGCTGTGATAGAGCAGTGACTCTGGAAAGATTAACATGGGCAACTACCCCCCCCCCCCCCCCTTTTTACCCTCCCCTCTCTATAGTTCGTACTTAGCAGAAAAATAGCCTCCAAAAAATCCAACACATCCTACAACTGTGTGTTTTCCATTATGCCGATGCCAGTTTTTCATGACAATATTTTCCCACTCAATTCAGTCAATAATTGTGCCAAATTACAGAGAGAAAAAAATGAAAGAAGAATATTTTAAACAGAGTTATAGTGAAATAGTATCGTGGTCCACATATTCACAATAAAGTTAAGACGCAATGACAACAGCAGAAAAAATAAAAATCAGAAAGAAGCGATTTTGTCTGTTTTGATACACTGTGAGAAGTTGATGTATAAAACAGGCTGTGAGAGCTGGGAAGATTCACAGCGACATAGCTAGAAGTAGACAGCTAGATAAACTTAGCCATGACAGAAAATATGTCAGTACATTTAATGGTGAATTATGTTACATACAGCGAGATGGGGAGAAGCCAATCGTACATGCTAGTCGGAAAATGAACTTGATGATGATGATTTCGTTGGCAATTATCCGTCTCTGCTGACGAATGTCTTATATTGTGCTATAGATAGAATACATGGAAATCGTCGCCCATCTTGATGGTGAGTGTATAGCAATACCATCACGTAATCAGGTAATCTGAGCAATGGGGGCATCCCAGAGCTACTCTGTTCCCGTGTCAACGAAAACCACACCGAAAGTCCACCGCAATCCTTTAAAAAAAAAAAAAAAAAGCACACGTATTAAATGCGTAAGGCAGCCGTAATAAGTATTAAAACAAACAGCCCCGCTGTAAAATCCAGTTCATTATCGATAGAAGCAGCAGTTACAACAGATCAGTTGTTGCACCCGCAATTAATCGCATAAAACACTTTCAGTTCTCGGGCAAAAGGGCATCTGCCATTTTTTGAATATAGAATTCACACAAAAACCACGTTGAGCACTGCCATAAAGCATTCTAAATGAAATCTTAAATTTCGCATATGCTTTTAATTTTAAAATTTACAAATGCACGGGTGCTGCAGTTTTCTGAAAGCGGAAATATTTAATCTTTATTTTTTTTTTAAATTTGTATATATCCTTCACTAATAACGTGTGTACCTCTAAAGAAATAGAACAGAAGTAAAAAAGTAAAGATCCCTTTTCACGCCTTAGGCGCATCTAGTTTTTGGGATGAGCGTCCCATATTTTTATAGACCAATCGGCACTGGATGGGTAATGTGGTCAGCATTACGCCGGCCGTCTCTGCCTCCACATGACAGCCATCCTGGTACCCATTTGAGGCTGAGTCGACCTGCGGCGCCCCATACCATGATAACATTCCACGCAGCCAGCAGTGGGTTTCGATCTCGGTACGCTGGATTACGAGTCTGACTCGCCACGCCTAAGCCACGGACGCCGCAAAGAAATAGAATATGCAGTAGCTGACACATGAGTGGAGGTTGTCTAAAATCCATTCACACTTGCAGCGATGCGTGGTGATTATTTTGATAGCCTATCCGGTATAGATGGAAACAAAAATAACGGGAGTATAATGCTGGAGATGATCGCCTGAGAGTAACACGTCTATGATGTTTTGAAAATGTCCTGTTGCAAAATTAACTCCAAGCACGACGATTGTTCCAATGGTCTGCACAGAACAGACAGAATAAAATAGTATGATAGAATCACTAACGTAGAGCTTCGGGAGAAAAGTAAACAAGTTCCACTAGACCAAAAGGCGAAAGAAAAGTCGCTGGGGTTGGATAGGACACACGTTGAGAAAACCTGAGAACAAGAATGTCTTTGAATTGGATCCCGCAGGGGCAAATAAATAGAGGAAGACCAAAAACACTGGTAGAAGGGGGCTAACGAGTGAAGTTAAAAAAGATGGTGGGAACATAGGTAGAGCTGCATGCGATAGCGAAGGGCAAAATGCCTTGACATGAGCTGGTTGGAGCCTATTCTCCCATTTGGGGGTTAGAAAGGCAGAAGAAGAAGACGAAGAATGCAAATTGAAACCCCCCCCCCCCCCCCTTTCCTCACACCCCTCCTCCGTCTACGGTAAGTAAGGAACAGAAAACGAAATTTAAAAAAAAATAAATGTCTGTTTACAAAAAATATAACTATATATATATACATATATATATATATATATATATATATATATATATATATATATATATATATATATATATATATATATATATATATATATATATATATATGATGACATAGTTTTCCTTTTGAAAACAATATTTAAAAAGAAGTTATAATAGTTCCTTTCAACATGTCTTTCAACAGTGTACCCACAACCTACGACTCAGACGACGCCGCCATCCACTCCTACGACTACACCTCAGCCCACACTGCCCTGTTTTTTTACCAGATGCGGAAATGGCGTTGTCTGTCGCAACGTCGGGCAGTATCCTAGTTGCACACTCACTGCAAGATGTATTCCCCCAACAAGCTTTCCAGAAGGTAAATGGTTTTCCTGATGTATCGTTTTTGTTTGAGAATCCTTCACTTTAAGTTTACCAGTTGTCAGTTGGCAGGTATACTGATTCCATGGAAGTATGGAAATGACAATATTCACACCAGTGGCGGAAGGGACAAATAGTTCTAGACCATACTTGTGCCTGTCCGTATGTTTTGTATGCTGATGAAAGCTTTACAACCGCAACGTTTTTTTTTATTACTGTACTGTGGAGCAGACTAATTCTAGTACTCGTTAAAAACGTAATTGTTCACTACAGATTTTAATAGACCAATCTGAACTCGATCTGTTGTTACTGGACCCGTTTAATAGCCAGAGTCATTAAAAAAATATTTTTTAAATTATTTCTCGTCCTTTTTAGGACGAAATGTTTCGTTGTTTGAAGCCCCACTCTGGCTCTTGCCGGGGGCCACAGTATAGCCTGATCATAAATATGGCCTAAGGGCTGAACGCGGTTTCTGGGACCTCTCCACTGTGATCCTCACCCACATGGTGGTACAGTGTGTCATCGGGTGTTTGTCGCTTGTGTGATGTCCTGGTGCGGTGGAAAGTCAGTCAGTCAGCCAAAAAATTTTGGCTTTGAATCGGAATGTCCGTGTGGGTTTCAGGATATCATTGTGGGTGAGACAGAACTGACCCACGCCACCGAAAAATCATGTCGTACGTCGATAGATGCTATTAAGTATATACTTAAATTAAATTATGGACCCTAAAGGTTCAGATATCGCTGCCTAGTTGTAAAACACAACACGATCTGCCAGCTGTCATTTTGAGAAGAAGAAGAAGAAGAATATGTTAATTTCATGTTTGTAATAATATGCATGTTATGAATATCAAGAAACAACAGAAAAGCATGGGTGGCAAAAGTCTCGCTCACGCACACATACATACATACATACATGCAATCATACCTAAATATATACACACTAGGGCTGTACCGAATAGTGATTTTTACTATTCGGCCGAATACGAATAGTAGGACCAACTGTTCGGCCGAATACGAATTTGAAAAGGTGCCATAGTGTATTATTATCATTAGGTGCCTTGCCGACTGACGTGGGCGATTATGCTTCGCCACAATCTGCGATCTTCTGCAGCATGTATTAGTTCGTGTGCCGACACACATCCATGCCATACAACAAGACAGTCAAGCATCTTCTCTCGTTGTCTTCCTCTATCACTCCTTCCACAGATCTTTCTAGTGGCCACCACATGTTCAATTTTCCCTCTTCTCATAACCTGGCCGAAAAATGATGACCGTCTCCTTCTGAGGTCTGTGATTAGTTGTCTTCGGGCTCCCACCTCTTTCAAAACCTCTTGGTTGCTTTTTTTTGGCTGTTTAAAGTTCTTTAAGCATTGTTATCTAAAACTACATCTCTGAAGCCTCAAGAAATTGTTTGGCCTGCCTACCGATTGTCCAGAACTCACATTCATATGTTAAAACTGGATGTATGTAGCAAGCAATAATTCTTTTTCTAACCTTCAACGGTATAGATATTACGGATGATTTCATCATTTTATAAAATGCAGTTATTGCTTGTCCTCTTTTCGACAGTGGCGAGGACAGACAATTTAAATTTTAACTTTTTGGGATCTTTATGCATTCTTTAATAATGTCGCAATTTATAACCGATTTTTCTTGATTTTCGCCGCGGCACTCCTGGCATATGCACCCAGTTTGAGAACTTTTGCTGTAATGCCTCAGTCGAGTCAGCATTCAAGACCTTGCCAGCTGCTGTACCACGCAACTGGGTCAAAGTTTCACCCGCTACTACAGACTTATGCAACAGCAACTATAGTGTTAATGAGAGAGTTATTTCAGTCCATCGCAGTGTATGCAGAAATGAGTGTAAGGTAACCACTATTCGTATTCGGCCGGACCGCAACTATTCGACCGAATACCTAATAGTTATTAGATCCACTATTCGGCCCCGAAGCGAATACGAAGCGAATATTTGGTACAGCCCTAATACATACATACATACATACATACATACATACATACATACATACATACATACATACATACATACATACATACATACATACATACATACATACATACATACATACATACATACATACATACATACATACATGCATGCATGCATGCATGCATGCATGCATCCATGCATCCATCCATGCATCCATGCATCCATCCATCCATCCATCCATCCATCCATCCATCCATCCATCCATCCATCCATCCATCCATACATACATACATACATACATACATGCATGCATGCATGCATGCATGCATGCATGCATGCATACATACATACATACATACATACATACATACATACATACATACTACATACATACATACATACATACATACATACATACATACATACATACACATACATACATACATACATACAT